CTTTTCCTGAACAGCGTGTAACAATTTAAAAATAATTGGAGTTAGGGCAGGGGGCACTAGAGAGGCGAAGGCAGGAGGATGACACTTTCCAAACCTGCAGTTAAGAATAAATCAGAGGTTTCTCTCCACCCTCATCCCCCTTGCCTGCTCCAAAATCTTACTGTGTAGCCTAGACTGGCCTAAAGCTCATGGTAATCTTCCTGTCTCAACCTTGTAGGCACTGGGATTACAGGAACAAACCAACATATCTGGCTTTTCAAATCTCTTCTTCTTTTTTTTTAAAGACTTATTTATTCATGTATTTTATGTACATGAGTGCTCTGTCTTCATATACACCAGAAAAAGGAATCTGACCCCATTACGGGTGATTGTGAGCTACCATGTGGTTACTGGGAGTTGATCTCAGGACCTCTGAAAGAGCAGTCAAGTGCTCTTAACCCACTGAGCCATCTCTCCAGCCCCCCAAATCAAATTACTCTCTTGTGTTTTAGCTTTAGAGATAAAGTGATAGATTGCTCACAAAGCTTATTGCCTTGTGACTCAGCTATTCCTTCCTGATGGGGAATAGATTAGATTAGTGTGAGCTTGTTCACACCAATAATAATAGTGAATAACAGAGTAAATACTTGTGAGCTATTATTTATGGACAGTTTACTGGTATAGATTCTTGTATTTTGATACAAATTCGAATTATATTTGTTATATTAAATATACCCCTATTTCTGTTTGCAATATTTGTACATCTGTGCAAAGTTATTTTGTCAGATTGTATGCATGCATGTTTCTATCTCTGTTTAAGACATTTTGTATACTGATACAATTTTAGGATATATTTATCATATTGCATATTTTTACCTCTGATCAAGATACTTACACATTGTTTACATTTTGAGGTCATTGTCCTTATTCACTGTACAATTGTTTAAAGATTGTTTAATATCACTGATATAAAGTCTTAGTTATATAGGTATTAAGTATTATAGGTCAATAGTCATTCATGTTTGTCATACTTACAGTCAGGCTAATTAGGTTTTTAAATACATAGAGATTGTATTCTACATAGATAGGTAATCTTCAACCACTTCAAAAATCTGTAAAACATGGCATTTAAATAACTTAGGGTTCTGTTGACATGAGACACAATTGCTCCTGACAGCACTGATATATTCCCAAGAAAATGTTGCGCACCAAAGAAATTCCACTTGGAGCTTGTTTTTTTCTTGGCATAATTGGTCTTTGGGCAAGGCACTGCCCATGCCTCAACCACTGACAAAGTGCATGGTGTCTAGACTGGACAAGCAAAAAAAAAAAAAAAAAAAAAGACTGCCAAACTTTGCCAAGACTGGGTAAGACAGTCTTAAAAAATTTTCCTGCCTCTAAAAATGGTCTATCAGTTACTCTAGGCCTTAGCCAAAGTTGGTTGCTTCAAATTACAAATGAGACTTTGGGTGATTGCTCAGGTAGCCAGTTGTCTCTGTTATCTACTACACATTTTGAAAGCTGCTTAGTTATACTTCCCGCCTACTCAAGTAATATTATCTCCCTTCTCAGGCCTTCGATGGGGTTAAAGACTAGATAGTCATAGTTACCTTCCTCTTATGATCTAGCCAAACCATTAGACTCCTTAGTCTAGAATGATTATTAAAACAATTAGCATATGCTCCTTGCTTAATATTGTTTATGCTGGTTTGTAATTCTAATTTTTATACTTGATATCTGTTTTTAGCATATATAGTTTTGTATTGGGTTTGGAACTCTCTTATTTAGACAAAAAGGGGAGATGATGGGGAACCTCCTTCAGCCAATGGCTTTAAGAGGCTGGAGTAGTTTGAGGCGTGACTTAGGGTACCAAAAATCTGCAATCCGCCCCACTTGCTTTCTTCTTCTCATGAGCCACACCTGGATGTTGGACCCCATTCCTATTTCCTCACTGTGATCTGTGAGTTCTCTTTTAATAAAGAAAAACCTTAAAATACTCTATTCGAAGTTATCTTGGGATCATTTGACGCGTGCTCCCCATCACCCTCCCCTCAGAGGTAGACTCTAGCTAGGCGGTGTGGCGCATGGCCAAGACTCAGAGAATCCAGAAAAGTCAATAGCATCATAATCTGACAGGGTGGCCACGGTCACCAGACTGTACGCAGAATGCTGCTGAGCATGCAGTAACAACAGGTCTACCCAGGGGGCCAGCTTTGGCCAGCACTGTGCAGCACATCCACGAAAGACCACTCCAGAAGCACAAAAAGAACACCAGCACAGGACGGCTGGTGGCCTACACCTTTTAGGAACAAAGGCCATCCTACTAGGTGAAGAACTATGACCAGCTGAGGTTCTCCCTGAGGGTAAGAATGTGACACTGGGAAGATGGCATGGGAAACACTGCCTTCCTTATGCCACACTTGCAGTGTGGCCAGTGCACCACAGTCCTCGAGGGAGGTACAGATAAGGACAGGTCTCCTGGGATGGCAATGGTCTCACTCATATGTCCATTCCTAGCCCGTATACTTTCCATCCTAGGTCTCTTGGCCTTAGGACATTAGCTGTACTAAGAGAAAAAGAATCTTAAAGACTTTCCCCTACTTCCATGCCATTTCCTCTGCCAGGCTCCACAAAGTCTGCTTGTTCAAGGCTTCCTCAGCAGTCAGGTGACCCCTCACAACCACGTGTAACTCTGGCTTCATGGGAGCCAATGCCCTCTTCTGGCCCCCAGAGGTACCTGAACACACACGATAGGATACTCATACATAGACAGACAGACAGACAGGCAGACACACACACATACACAAAACCTCAAAAAACAAAAACAAGGGGCTAGAGTGCTGGCTCAGCGGTTGAGAGCACTCGCTGTTCTTGCAGAGGAACGGGGTTTGAGTCCGAGCACCCACACAGTGGTTTACAATTATAGTCCAGTTGCTCTCTTCTGACCCCTGCGGGTACCAGTCACACATGTGCACAGAAATACACGCAAGCAAAACATTCATAAGAAAATAAGTAAGTCTAAAATAATAAAAAATTAAACAAACAACAAAGAAACCCAAAACAAACCCTAAAACTATCTTAGTCAGAACAAAAACCAAAACAAAAGAAAAAATAACAATCCACCAACCCCATATATGGCTTTATGGTTAAGTATGTTAGGTATTTAAGTAAGAAGAAATATCAATTCTATACAAAAATTTCCAGAAAACAAGAGAAAGAGATATTCCACAACTAATTTTATGAGGCCAGCATTACCCCGATACTAACATCATGCAAATACTGTAAGGAAACATAATTAGCCACGATACCATTAACTTTCTTTGCCAGGCAAAAAAATCACTTATAAAATTTTAGGTGATTAGGACTGAAGAGATGGCTCAGAGGTTAAGAGCACTGACTGCTCTTCCAGAGGTCCTGAGTTTAATTCCCAGCAACCACATGGTCACTCACAACCATCTGTAATGAGATTTGGTGCCCTCTTCTGAACATGGAGGCAGGATGCTGTATACACAATAAATAAATAAACAAATCTTTAAACAAATTTTTTTAGGTGATCAAGCCAGCAATTTGTAAAAAGGATAATGTGTTATCTTTAAGTGGAGTTTACTTCAGGGGCAAAGGCTAGCTCAATATCACCATTAGTTTGTCTGTGTGTGTGTGTGTTTGTATACATGTATCATGTGCTCACATGCCATGGCTCCCATGTGGTGGTCAAAGGATAATTTTGTGGAGTTCGTTCTTTCCTTCAAAACTTTATATTGTTTCCAAGGTCAAATTCAGGTCACCAGATTTGTGTGGCAAATGTCTTTACCAGCTAGGCCATCTCTCTCTGCCCCTAGAGATTTTTATTATTTTGGTATTTTGGAGATTTTTGTGGATCATGCTACTGGCTTGGTATCTAACACCTTTCTGATTTAAAAAGCACAAAGATTTCCTCCTTTGCTCTCTTCTGAAAGTGTTCTGGTTTTGTCTCTTGGACATTGGTCTATGGTTCACTTTAAGTTAGAATTTACATGCAGTGCCTTTTTTCTTTTGCTACCAGTACCCAAAGTTCTGCACCGTTTGTTAAGAAAATTATTCTAGCCATGTGGATCCTAGAAATTAAACTCAGGTCCCTGGGCATCTCAATAGCTCCTGTTTATTTTCTTGACGTATGGTCTCACTATGCAGCTCTGGCTTAGAACTTTCTACACTATGTGGCCTAAGGTGGCTGAAACTCATGATTCATTTGTTTCAATCTTTAAATGCTGGATTACAAGCATAAACCACCACACTGAGCCTTAAGTAATAGCTTAATAATGATATTTAAGACATACCAGGAGATGAATGTACATTTTAGAGGTTTCTACTGCTAGCAGAAATTGCATGAAAGTAGCACATAAGTAGATACCATATATTAACATTCTGAGGTTGGCTCTTTCCTGTGCTTATTATTATTAAAACACAGGGTGGGGATGTAGCTCAGTGATAGAGTACTGGCCCAGCGTGCAGAAGACCCTGGTTTGATCCCACATGCCCCAAACAAAAATAAAAACAATAAATAAAGCAAAGATCCTCCCACCAGGGACTAAGGGAGGCTTACACATGGACAGTAATAACAGCTAATTAATAATTAAACACTAATGATTGAACTGATTCCTATATTCCTGATATCCATATAATCAAAAAATAAATAGAAACCAGGGTGGTGGTTAAAATGATTTAGTATTAGCCGGGCAGTGGTGGCATATGCCTTTAATCCCAGCACTTGGGAGGCAGAGGTAGGCGGATCTCTGTAAGTCTGAGGCCAGCCTGGGCTACAAGAGCTAGTTCCAGGACATACTCCAAAGCTACAGAGAAACCCTGTCTCGAAAAACCAAAAGAAAAAATGATTTAGTATTAGCTCTCAGAAAATGTCACTCCTAAAATACCGTTACTTCTTAAGAGTTTTGAGTTTCATCCTAACCAATATTCAAGTGATCAAATCCTTCAGGAAATAAACAACTCTATAAGACCCAATTCTGAGTCATTCTAACACTTACCCAGGGGTTCCACCAACTGGTCAACCAATCCCATTTTCTTTGCTCTGTCTGCACGAATGTTTCTACCAGTCAGCATCATGTCAAACGCAGCAGGAACACCCACCTAACATGCAAGTGAGAGCCAGGGCACAGGGGGAAAATGAGGGTGAAAGTTAGTTTACAAATCATAAGTGAGCAAACTTTTGAAGAAACGTGGGGCTGGGAGGGGCTCAGTGGGTAAAGATGCTTGCTGTCAAGGCTGACACCCTGAGTTTAATTCCTGGAACTCTCTTGGCAAGAGAGAACTGATTCCTGAAACATGTCCTCTGACTTCCATGTGTGCACCCTTGCACACGTGAGCATGAACATGCAATATAATAATAAACATAATCATTTTTTCTAAAATAAGGAGAAAAGTCAAACCAGTTTTGTTTTGAAGACAGGGTTTCTTTGTGTAGCCCTGGATGTCCTAGAACTAACTCTGTAGACCACAGCTTTATGTTCTTTTATCAGTAAATTAAATTTTATATACTTACACACTTTTAAGTTTTGAGATTATGTCCAGTTGAAGAAAAAAATGCTTTTATAATATATTTTAAATTCAATAGCATAAGGAACTGGAGAGGTGGAGAATTCATTTTATATGAACTAAAATTGTAGACTGTCATTCTCAATTTGTTTTCCATCATTTATACAGTATTTAAAACTAGGGCTGAGGTTGTAGCTCAGTGGTACTCTTTGCTCGGCATGCATAAGACCATGGGTTCAATTTTCAGAAAAATAATGCTGAGAATTAACAATGCAGCTCAACTGATACAGTATTGTAGAAAACTGATCTCTAGCCAAGTGTATGGTTTGTTCCATATCTTGGAAAGCTGAGGCAGGAGAATGGTAGACTCAAGGTGTGTCTGAGTTGTAGAGAAGACTCTGATTCAGAACAAAACAACAACAACAAACAAAACAAAACCAGCTAGGTATGGAGGCTTACACCTATAATCCTAGTACTCAGGAGGCAGAGGCAAAAGAATCTCTGAGATCTAGGCCAGCCTGGTCTACATAGTGAAGTCAGGACTACATAAAGAGACCCTGGCTTAAAGAAACAAACAAGCAACCAACCAAAAACAATAACAAAAAAAAAGCATAAAAACAAAAATGAAAGAACTCCTAGTAACGTAAGTAAATGAAATTCAACAAAACTTTTTGTGTCAAGACATCTTCTAGACAATTCTTACAAAGAAATGTGTATTATTTATTTTGATAACTAGATTGGTATGTGTTATTTCAGACTCAGGAGGGTGAGGCAGGGGAAAGATAAGAGTTTGAGGCCAGTCTAGGCTACAGGATGAAGCTTTTGATCAAAATCAAAACCAACCAAATGAAACAAAACCTTCCTTTCCCCATTTGCACTTGTGTGGGCTTCTAGGCTCAGCTGCTCCACTGTGCCCTTCTCACTGAGAAGTCTACAGTGCTGGGCGCTGCGAGGCTCTGCCATCTGCTTTGATAGGAAATCCCTCCGCAGCCTCCAGGGATGACTCTCCTTCTCCTTTCCTAGAAATTCAGAAGCTTACTGATCTTTTTTGGTCCTCTGACTATAGCAAGGACATGGTCTAAATCAGAGAATCATGAGAAAGCTGTCTCATACTTATTATGACCTACAACCCATGGCTTTGAAAAACTATTAAGGCGATACCGTGAGAGGAGGAACAAATTAATGTTTTGGAAAAGCAAGGCTTATCACTTTTATCCTTTACTAACAATTCTGTAGAACTGAAAAACTATCAGGAATGAAGAAAAAAAATCTCTCAACAATCCTCTGTACTCCTAACTTACTTGGCTTCTGAATTTACAGTGAGTACTTTGTAGAAGATGGAGTAGATCCAAAGGGTATTTATGTATAACTCAAGTTCACGGCGTTGGGTGTTCTTAAACTCACCATTTTGGGCAGTCTCTGGGTACCTCCAGCTCCTGGTAAGAGTCCCAGTAACACTTCAGGGACGCCCAATACTGTTTTTTTGTCCTTTGTTGCTACTCTGTATTGGCATGCTAAGGCGAGCTTCAGAGAAATGAAAGAAAAATTACAAGTTAGAAAATATAACTGTAACGATTTAGCACCTAGGTTGGCAGGTCTAAATGTTATTTATAAAGCAGGAATGTCCCACAAAATAAACCATGATTTGTTAGGCTGACATCCGGCACTCTACCATTTACCTCTTCTACCATTGTCATGATTTATCAACCCTTTCAGGTCGCTCTTCTCCTTAAAACTCTCCTGAAGGTAACCTTTGATCCCAGCACTCTGGAGGCAGAGGCAGGCCTACACAGTGAGATCCTGTCTCAAAAAAACAAAACAAAAAAGAATCTCTTCTCTTTAATCTTATCATCTTTACTATTCACAAGAAACTCTCTCTCACGAGACTTAAATATATTATTATGCTTTGAAGGTCAACCAGACTTAAGAACACGAACACAGATCCCACTTCTGATCTTTGCCCTGAGTCTGAGGCAGGTATGCAGCCATGAGAAAGACTTCATGGTGCAGTTTAAATCACAGCTGTCAATGGAAACAGCGTTCCTTGGCTCACGTGCTCTGTGTCACTTGCTGCTTGTCATAAATTAAGAGTTAACCCCATGCAGATGTTTGATAGCTAAAATCAAGCCAATCCTACTCGGAAGACTTTCCTGCAGGAGAAACAATAGCCCAAGGGTCACAGCAGCACATCCTACCAGTGAGTGGGACAGCATCTATACAGCTCTGGGATTCATCCATACCTCAAGTCCTCCTCCCAAGCAGGATCCACTGATGGCGGCTACAACGGGCTTTGAGGACTTTTCAAGTTTCTCAAACATTCTCTGTCCTTCCTGTGATATTCGTGTTGCTTCTTGCGGAGTTGTACAAGAGGCTAGCATGCTGTAGCAGCCACATAAAAGAACACAAAAGGAGAGATGAAACTGGATCCTACTTTGTATAACACTTCACCCACTACATGCTTATCTCAGCATACATCAATATTTGGCAATGAGTTCATAAAATGGAACATGTTACACAATTTATTTTGCTTCCTTAACAAACCACTGATCACAAAGCTCTAATATCACCTGGTAAATATTTTGGCTAACAGATCAGACAATTCTAGGGTGATGTTCTGGATCTAGTTAATCTCTTTCAGCTGTTTTGTAGTCTTTACTATCTGTTTCCCTAGTGACATGTAGCTGGTTTCAAAGGCTTCATTATGTCTACCTACACACAGGAATGACTATTCTTCCACACAGATTCTTATGAATAGAGACTAAGATTTCTTTAGTATATACACCTAGATGAGAGTATGCGGCTGGAACATACTTGTTGCCTCCCACTCCTTGTGTGTGTGTATCTGCATGTTTGCTCAACTGTACAGGCACATGTGGAGGCCAACTTCAGGTGGCTTTTTCACTTCTTATTTTTTGAGACAAGGCGATTCATCAAACTCACCATGCCCAGCTTTTATGTGGGTGAATCAAACTCAGGTTATTGGCCTAGCGGCAGGTATTTTACCCACCAGTCTAGCCCTTGTATTTTTCATTTTACTAAGTACTGACAAACTGTGCTCCAAAGTGGTTATACGAATTGGGATTTCCACCAAATTTTTAAATGTTTTCTGGTATGATGGAAGAAAACTGGGCATTTGTTCTTGGCTAGCAAGAAAGAAAGGCTGTATTTAGTCATCTATGATTTAAGCAACAAGTTCCTTTATTTCATCAGCTTTATTAAACTCAGGAAAATAACTTCAAAAAACAAACTTTTGGAGAATTTACTTCTATCTTCTTTTAAAGATAGAAATATGTAATTAATCAAGATAAACTTACTTGATATCAGCACCTGCGACAAAGCAGCCGGGCTTTGATGAATTAAGGACAGCACTTCTGATTTGGTCATTGGCCCAGATTTCATTCATAACTTCTGCAAACTCTGCTTGTACTTCTTTATTCAATGTATTTACCTACAAGAGAAACAGCTACATCTAAGGGTTTAAACTAGAAGTAAAACAGACATACTACCACTGTCAAATATGTTCATGCAGCAGACATATTGTAAGAAGAAAATGAAGAAACCAAAACCAAAACACAGACAGACCAAAACCCCTCTGAAACCCAACTAGTACCCTTCCCTTTAAAAACAGGTCTCAAGAGCTGGAGAGATGCCCAGTGGGTAAACGTGCTTGCCATGCAAGCCCAACCATCCGAGTTTGATCCTTATATCCCAGGTAAAGGTGGAGGAGAGACTCAATTTCACTCTCACCCTCAAGGACGTCATGTACACACAATACAGAAAAAAGGGGACTCTGCTGGCTGGGCATAGGGATGCTTCCTTCTAAATTCTGCCACAAGTCTGAGGCTGACCTAGGACACAGAAGGTTCCAGGCTATCCAGCCTATCCAGTGAGACCTTGTCTGAAAAAAACTAAACTAAAAAAGTGATCATAAGGTCATACTCCTAGCAGTCTGGATCAGATGCAGGTACAATTAAATAAATCTACAAATATTTATTGGCCCAGGGGGAGAAGGGAATCTATACAACATAAAAAAAGAAGCTAAATTAGACACAGTATGGTCTTCATTTTATAAATATATTCAACTTCAGAAAATTAAGGGGAAAAATCTTAAGTTTGAATCCTAAGTTATTCCATATTGGACCAGCACGAGTGAAAGCCTGGCTCCTATAACTGCTAATGGGTGAGAGTTGCCAACTGCTTCACGTAGGTCCTCCTGTTTCTTACACGGTTCTATATAGCCCAGGCTAGCCTTGTACTCTGTAGCTGAGGATGACCTAGAATTCTTCCTATTTGTGCCTCTCAGGTGCTGTGAGTCAGTCCCCATGCTTGGCTCAATCTCATCTATGTCATATAGAGCTCTGGCTGCAAGATTTTATTTAAAAAAAAAATAGTAAGAGACCTTTATACCAATTTGAGATGGGGGAAAGAATGAACCCCTGCAATAGAATATTCTTGGCAAAACTAGGGTTCTGTTGTCTACACTGTTGAATTTGCCAAGATCCAGGTTCCATTTTCCTTTATTTTTTTCCCCCGAGACAGGGTTTCTCTGTAGCTTTAGAGCCTGTTCTGGAACTAGCTCTTGTAGACCAGACTGGCCTCGAACTCACAAAGATCCACCTGCTTCTGCCTCCCAAGTGCTGGGATTAAAGGTGTGTGCCACCACCACTCAGCTCCAGGTTCCATTTTCACATAACCTGTTTCTAGCATGTGGCCTGCATGAGTCATTCAGAACCTGTAGGAAGCTCAAGAGCCAAATGTCTACATGTATCCCCGCCAACCTACTATGAGTAATACTACAACAGGAAGGTACTGAAGGTAGATTTAATCACCTCATGTTTAAAATAGGTGGATTAAGTCTTATCAACAAGCATATTCTATCACACTTATCCTATACAATAACAGGCTAGTTTTATTAATCTTTGATATTAATCTGACACCTAGAGTCAATAAGAAGGAGTTCTTTGTGTGTTGTCTGTCTTTGAAATGGGGTCTCACTAAGTAGGCCTGGCTGGTCTAGAAATCACAGAGACCCACCTGCCTCTTCTTCTACAGTGTTGGTGTTAAAGGTGAACACCACCAAGAAGGACATTTTTTTCTTTTTCTTTTTTTTTTTGAGACAGAATCTCACTGTGTTCTACCTGACCTGAAACTCACTATGTAGATCAGGCTGGCTGAGGCTTCAGAGAGATCTGCCTGCCTTTGTTTCCCACTGCTGGGATTAAAGGTGTGCACCACCACCCCTGGCCTCAAGAAGGAATTCTCATACAGGAACATCTGCCTATAACTAAGAAAACCTTAAAATCATGTGACAGGCCCACTTCCAAACAGGCAGATTTCATTTCTACTTAGGATAGGATTCATAAATGTAGTTGGTAGAAATTAACTAAAAAAAGTTTGGGTACCTTAGAATTGGGTGAGTTAATCCGAATAACCGCCACATCCCCTTTGACTCCATAATTAATATGGTTTCTGGCTAAAAGAGAGAAGACAAATTAGTTTCTAAACATGCTTATCACAAAGTACGTCTACAAAGTGATGTTAAGATATATACATACAAGTACCATTATATGGACAGAGCAGGTTGTATTTAGGACACACACATCCCCATTCACTTTCCTCCCTCCAACTCTTCCATATACTCCCCTTGCTCTCTCAAATTCATGGCCTCTTTTTCTTTGTTGTTTTACATATATGCATATATATATATATATATATATCAAGAAACACACATATATTTAGGAACATATACACATACATACATATTAGGATACACACATATATTTAGGGATACACACATATACATATCTAGTGATATATATATATATCTATATAGGTATTTATATATGTGCATATACACATATGCATATATACAGCAATGAAGAAAAATGGCCATGAATTTGAAAGCAAGAAAGGTGTGTGGGAGAAGTTGGAGGGAGGAAAGTGAATGGGGGATATGGTGAAATTCTATTCTAATTTCAAAAAATGAAAAGTATAAAAATCAGCATTATGTAAACAAGAAAGTCAACTTACTCAGCAAAGCAGAAGATGCTGTAAAGCTGCGGCAAATACAGCCTGCAAGGGAAGAGTGTTTCAAAATTATTTTGTGAAACAGAATTTCTGTAATATCTGTCAGGTCAGCAAAACTAGAATTTACACCAATAAAACACCAATCAGAACAATGTATTCTAGGCCACTATTGTGGCTACTCCATTACCTTTCTCATTTTAATTATTAGGTCAAATGATTATCCAGATAATAAGTAAGGTAGGGAGAGGATGGCCCCGCCAACCAAAAAAAAAAAAAAAAAGGACACATCACATCTCTAGAATGTGTTGGGTTACATGGCAAAGGGCTAACATGCAAATGGAAGTAAGATTGACCTTAATCTAAGGAAAGCATCATGAATTATCTAAATGGGTTTAGGGTAACCCCAAAGAAAATCAGAGACATGTGAGCATGTCCTGGCTCCAGGTTGCTAAAGGAAGGAGATGAGCAGAAGCTGAGACCACAGGTTGTCTCTGAAAACTAGAAAAGGTAAGGCCACGGCTTTTCCTCAGGGCCTTCGGAAAGAATGGAAGCCCTGTCAACACCTACCTGAGCCTAATGACACCCATATGGTTCCCACTTGGGATTGAACATAGGCCTAGTGTATGCTAGGCAAACACTCTACCACAGAGCTATTTATCCTTGGCCCGAGACCCATTAAGGACGTCTGACTACTATAACTGTGCACCAGGGAGGCAGAGGCAGGTAGATTACTGTGATTTCCAGGCCAACTAGTGAAAGCATGCCTCTTGTTTCCCTAAAGGATCCGAGTGTGTTGCCCAGCACCCATGCCGGCTAAAAGACTCCAGCTGCAGAGGATCTGATGCCCTCTTTTGGTCACCACTGCCATTCACACACACGTCATACACTCGCATGCACACCAACACATAAATAAAAATAAATATTGAAAAACAAATAAAAGACCACTGGATGTGGTCGTTATACAGTGAACCCCAGCACTCAGGAGGCAGAGGCAGGAGGATCTCTGGATTTGATGCCAGCCTGGTCTACACAGCAAGTTCCAGGCCATCCAGGGCTATATAGCGAGACCTTAAACAAAACAAAACATCAAATCAAGGGGCAACCACTGGCTGCTACAAAGGAAACAGTCCATGTCATGCTTTGCTGTTTTAAGCATTCCTAACTAAAAAAAATTTCTATACTGCATTCCACCAATAACATTCCCAATCTTTGGATAACAAAATTCTGACACCGTCCTCTGTTGCTTATTAGCTGGTGCTCATCATCTAACTTGCTTAGGGTCTTCAGCATGACCACAAGAGATCAAATCTCATGTCCCCAGCCATTTTGGTTCTAATTACCATTTTGCTCACTGGATATCTTTGGCAACCAGCTGCAACCCTACAGGAAAAACAGCCACTAAAGTCATCAGCAGAACAGGTATGGGGTCCACACCTGGAATACTAGCATTTGGGAGACACAGAGACTTAGAAGATAATGAGGCCAGGGACAACCTGGTTTGTTGTTGTTGTTGTTCTCTTCTTCTTATTATTTTAATTTTTTTTGAGATAAGGCTTCAATGTGTAGCCCAGGCTAGGTTGGAACTTGCTATACATAACATGCCTAGTATGACTTTGAACGCTTGAATTCATGATCCCAAGTGCTCAGGTTATAAATGCATTCCAGCACACCTGATTCTAGTGAGAGAGTGTCACTATAAAGTAGTCCTGGCTGGCCTTGAACTCACAGGTCCGCCTGAGCACTTTAGTTTTCTTTTAGAGACAAGATCTCACTCTGATCTGGCTGGCCTGGAACTCCTAGCGACCTGCCTACCTCTGCCCCCTTAGGCTGCTCCCACATCCAGCTTGCATCATCCACCTCTAAAGCACGAATATCTGATTTTTAAGACAGTAACTGCCCTGAGTGGTGACCAGGACCTGCCATCCCAGTACTCCCCAGAGATGGGCGATCACAGGTTGTAGCTAGGCTGAGACACCTAGCAGTTCCTCATCTCAAAATGAAGTTGCAGCCATGCTGCTTTTGTAGGTGTTTGTTTTTGGAGGTTTGTTGGTTCCGCTGGTTAGGCTTCTTTGTTTGTTTTGGATTTGCTTCGGCATTTGCATTCTGACACTTAGCTGCTTATTTTCCTTAGTTTTTGTCTGACTTTCTACCTCACCCCGCCCTACTTGTCCTACCAGTTAGTCCATTCTTATCCCAATATGCTTCACTCTCTCCTAGTTAGAGTACCTAGCCCATGCTTCTTTCCCACTAGAATTTCTACTTTACAATTAGTTTTTCAGAACTGGGTCTTGAACCTAGGTCCTTGTACATGCTAGGCAAACACTTTACCACTGAGCTGTTTTCAACCCTTCATTTATGTCCCTGAGTAGATTCAGTACTATATCCTCTGCTGCCCCAGAATGCAAGCTCCACCAAGACTTTACTTTTACTTGTTATACCCCAGTGTCCTAGAAAGTTGCATGACATGTCAGGTTGCTGTGAAAACTTTGGTTGCCTAATGACTGAAATTATAGTGGAAGAGATTAATTATAAGTTCATTTGCAAATGCAGCAATGAGAACAAAACACTAAATAATAATAATAAAGACCAAAATGCAGGCAGGGAGGAGGATCACACAGTTGAAATCTCAAGGTGAAGTTTTGGGGGGAAACTTAGAGTCATGTACGTTTTGTTGAAGATCAGAGCTAATATTAAGAAATAAGTTACTAGGGGGCTGGAGAGATGGCTCAGTGGTTAAGAGCATTGCCTGCTCTTCCAAAGGTCCTGAGTTCAATTTCCAGCAACCACATGGTGGCTCACAACCATCTGAAATGAGATCTGATGCCCTCTTCTGGCCTGCAGACAGACACACAGACAGAATATTGTATACATAATAAATAAATGAATAAATAAATAGAAATAAGTAACTAGCCAGACAGTGACGACACACATCTTTAGTCCCAACACTCAGGAGGCAGAGGCAGGCAGATCTCTGTGAGTTCGAGGCCAGCATGACCTGCACAGCTAGTTCCAGGACAACTTGGGCTGTTACAGAGACACCATGTCTCGAAAAAAAGAAAGAAAGAACTAATAGTTGATATTACTTTAAGGGGATGGTTCTCAAGCTCCCTAATGCTGTGACCCTTTAATACAGTTCCTCATGTTGTAGTGACTCCCAACCATAAAATTATTTTTGTTGCTACTTCATAACTATTTTGCTACTATTATGAGTCATAATTTAAAATTCTAATATGCTAGATATCTGATATGTGACTCCCAGAGGGGTCTTGACCCCCAGGTGCAGAACCACTGTTTCAAGGCATCTGCCTTTGCTGAGTGCTGGTGCCTGAGTGTGTAACACCTAGTCGAGTAAATGATGATTTACTTTCATTTTCTGAACTAAAGAAAGAGATAGCTTTCCTAGGATAGTTGAGCAAGTCTGGGATATGTGGAGAAAGGAGTGAAAGATTAAAGAGGCGTGTAGAAGAGATGGTTTGAACCATGATGAAGAAGAAAAGGAAGGGTATTTTGAAGAAGCACATAAGCTGTATTTGGGGGATGTTGCCTCTGAGCTACTCTTGAACAATCTGCTTGTCATCTAGAGCTTGCTTGCAATAGAGTAGGATCAAGCCTTTATAATGGAGAGGCTATAGATCAATGTCTCAAACAAATTTAGTGTTTGTTCAAAATTCCCCTTATATCCCGTGTCTTCTACCTAGAGTCTGATTGAAGGACCCTCCACTGGGCCTCTCCTGTGTGCTTGTACTCCAAAGATCCAATCATAATCATTGCTACAGAAAAACCTAGTCCTGGAGTATGAGAACCCATTGCTACAGGTGGGAGGGATCGTGAGACTGACGAAAGTCGGGTCTAAGATTGCCCGAAGTAAAATTTACTAGGAACTCTGAACAGAAAAACCCTTAGCAGCAAGACAAGTGGACTTCCTACACTCTAAGGCAGGAGGATGGGAATTACATACTAAGCTAGACAGAGTTGATCATAGCCAACCAGAACACAGTTAGCCTTCCTCAAAAACTTTTGAAATATCTAGTGTCAGTTAAGATGGCCTTGGGAACTAGAAGTAACTCAGTGGTACTTCTCTAGCAAGTGTCCCTGGGTTCAATAATCCTCAGCACTAAGCTTGGTGAGGCACGCCCTTCACCAGCCCTCCACCACTTTAGAGGTGGATGGTGTTGGAGCAGCCTAAGAGGACTAGGAGTTCCAGGCCAGCCAGATCTACCGAGTAAGATCTTGTCTCTAAAACAAAACTAAAAAAAAAAAAAATAAATAAATAAATAAATAAATAATAAATAAGTAAGTTGGTGTTCATTAGCCTTCTTTAGGCCATTTAAATCTTGCCAACTAACCTCTCTTCGGGGTAAACACGCTTCCACATAGTTACACAAAACCTCCTAAATCAACAGAGACAAAAGCAAAGAGAAAGAACACTAAATGCACAAACATAAAGAAAAACTTCCTAACCACAGTCAATGTAATCAAGCCGAAGTACAGGGTCACTTTGCTTCTGGAATCCAGCCTCACCACACGCCTAACAGCTAAGCTGCCGCCGAGTGAACTTTAGCCTACATTTTTCAGTGCCAGCAAGAGTGAAACCTTTGTCCTACTTTTTAATCATCTTCATATGTAAGAAAATAGCTACGAGATCACACTATAATCAGTGGGAAAAGTTGGACTGTGCTGACCCAATTTTGAAAATGTTACTTTAGTTTATGACAGTTAATAGCTTTTCCAAAATCCAACTCCAGGACAAGGGATGGAATTGATTGAATAAGTGAGAGTCAGACTGGAAAATACCACAGTACCTACTAACTGCCTTTTGTTTCCCGTAAAATTCTTCTCACTCACATACTTGGGAATTAGGAGGAGTAGAAATTAGATATGAAGGTCAACTTGCGAGTTTTTTATTTGATAATCATACTAGAATGATGGTACTATACAGCAGGAATGTTCTAAAACTATCATAGAAGGCTTATGTTTTTTCCAGGTAACGCCACAGTTCATTGGGCATTTGGCAACGCCCGTACACACTCTCAGGGTCAAGGACT